TGATTACATAATTTTTTTAATGAGTATCAAACAATGTGATTTAGCAACTAATGAACTGAATATGTCTAAAAAGAATATCTAACCTTTTTAATAGGACATCTAGCCTTTTAAATTTACTCTTTTAAATTTACTTATAAGCTTTGACAATTAAAGTTATATTTATAAAAGCATATGTTGTCAAATTTTAATTTATCCTTTGTTATACTATAATTTAAAATTACTCTATCATTATCTGAATAATATAAATATATTTCACCTCTGTTAAGTTTTTTTTTTGTGGGTTAAATGACACGAATATTTGTGGAAAGAGGTCATACTTTGTATAGCAGGATAAGTAGCTATGACAAATAGGTAGTTTCCTATTGTACATAGTTCCACACATGTTGCTTTGATTTATATATTGGTGGGACTATCTAAACAGTAGGGTTTTCAAAAGACTGGTAATTCACTCCTTTGCTCAATAGATGAGTAATTCGGTTCTTCTCCCAGTTGCATTTGAGATCTGCACTACACAAGAATAATAAAAGAATGCATATTATCATGATTATGCTTATTTATGACTTCTAAAGAGTGGAGATTGATTTCAACGGGGGGAAAGATTGTACTGAATAGCTAGTCATTAGCCTTGTAGGGATTTGAGCTCTTCCATTATGGAATTTGAGGGTCCTTGACATTGAATCCAGGGTCCAATCCCCTCTATGATTTCTAATAATGCCTCTGATTTCGTCAATACTAGAGCTGAACTTGACAGAACCATCACTGTTAAGCATGTAAGTCTCACGAGAAGCGGAGTTCCATTTAATTAAGATTGTATATGGTTGTCCTTTAGGTATGGGAGTTTGGTCGATGAGAAGATGGCACTCAATAACTTAGAGGTGTTTCTTTTCCTTTCATTTAATAAGTTGTTATTCCATTAAAACTAAATATTTCAAAAAAAAAGAAAAGGAAAAGAGAAGCATGAAATTCCAAGAGAGCATAACATTATAGGGTTCCTTTGGTTTCTACTTTTAGAGACTCGTGGACTTTTGCAGGCATTTTGATATACTACATAATGTGAAAGGGTATATGCTTCCTAGAGAAACCCTAGCTAGCATAGTTCTGCTAGCCATGTTGAGGAACTTGTCTTGTTGTTCATACTGTCAATAATTAGTTGGAAGTCACTATTGTCAGCCTTCATTTGGAAAAATATTTTCTTATATTTCTACTATTTACAAGGAAGGATATTCAATTTTGTAGTCCACACATGAATTTTCTTGTTCTTTTTATTCAAATTGAAATTTGTAAAACCTTGCATATTAAACAGATTATACGCTACTAAAAATGATATTGTCATGAAAATTTTTTCTAATGATCCTACAAAGTACATTCAGGTATAGAGTTTTTAGTTTATATGAAAATATTACTAAGCTTGTTTCAAATAATGTTTACCTCAAGACTTTATCACAAGTATAAACTTGAAAGCACGTCATCATCTTAGACAAGATAATTTGCTGAGAGGCGTTATAGATACATACATCAAGACATTATCGTGGAGAGTGACTTCTATGCCTCCTTATCGTAGTCGTAATCACATTTGTCTTCGGCGAAAGAGTGTAGAGAATTATACAATAACCTTAGTGAGTTGAAGAAGAACAAATTTATAAAAGGAATAATTAATACATTAATATGCCTTTTAACTTAACCTCGACTAATATTTATGCTCTCTAACTTTGAATATGCACAAGTAAACATTTAAACTTGTATAAAGTTGAACCAGTAAACACGAGTTGTACATGACACAATACATGTAGGAAAAATATGTCCATTTATTTAGCTTTATTGAAGTTTAAGTATTTACTTGTACATAACCAAAGTTTGTGGGTATTAATTTGAGTTGAGAAGACATTTTTATGTATCAGCTACGCCTTTATACATTGGTCCCTCTTCGACTCACTAAGGTTATCATATAAATCTCTACACTTTTTTTGTCGCCGACAATTGTGATAACATAAGACTAGGACAAGTAGGCGTAAAAATAACTCTCCACGATAATATCTTCAGGTTATCTATAACGTCTCTCAACAAATTTTCTTCTCTAAGATCCTGATGTGCATTTAAAGTTTGTGATTACAATAAAGTTTATCTTGGCGTTAGATGTTTTAACTTTTAAGTTTTGACCAAAATTTGGAATTGCCTAGCATTTTTTGCATACTTGCTCATATGAGAATTTCGTCATCTCAGTTGGCTTTGGAAGGTAATCTTTTATCGAATAGGATGGTTATTTTAGGTTTAGAGGCTTCCATTTTTAGTTTGTGTTGTTAGGTGTTTTAACTTTTAAATATTTGCCAAAGACGTCAGAATTCTGGATCACCAAAAAAGATCATGAACTATAGCAAATGAGAATCAGCAAAATGAGGGATTTATTTGTTTCGAGATTTGTTTTACCTTAAAAATGAGCCATTTTCCTTTATGTCCAAATAACTCGATTGATTACGTCTTAGCAGACATGCACAAAAAATTTAGGCAAAAAAGATGTCAAAATTCTGGATCACCAAAATTTAATGAATAATTGTACGAGAAAATTGTCAAAATGGGGTTAACCTGCTTTGGGGCTCGTTTGACCTTGAAAATGAGTTGTTTTGGCCCTCTGAGCCAATTGACTCTATAGCCAACGTCTTAACAGACATCCACAAAAAAATTGAACAAAAAAGACATTAGAATTCTGGATCATTGAAGATCCATGGACTATAACACACGAAAATTGGCAAATTTGAGCAAAAAAGATGTCAGAATTCAGGATCATTGAAGATCCATGGACTATAACATACGAAAATTGACAAATTAGGGGGTGTACCTAATGCGAGACTCGTTTGACCTTTAAAATGGGTAGTTTTAGACGTCAGGACCAACTAGCTCCATACCTAACGTCTTAACAGACGTCCACAAAAAAATTTGCACAAAAAAGACGTATTAATTTTGTATCACCAAAATACACCATGGTTTGTAGCAAAAGAAAATCGATAAATAAGGGGTTCACTTGTTCAAGGGATATTTTGACTTTCAAAATGAGTCATTTTGGGCGTTAGAGTCAAAAGACTCCATAGATAAAACTTTGACGGACATTCACAAAAAATTTGAGAAAAAAGACGTGGAAATTTGTAATCATAAAAAATTCATGGACTATAGAAATGAAAATCAACATTGCTAACTGGCTCCCCCCATACTTTGGTCGAATAGGAAGAGAGACCCCCCATGTTTTGATCGTCATGGCCAACTGATTCCATAACTAACATCTTAATAGGCGTCCACAAAAAATATGGGCAAAAAAGACGTCGAAATTCTGGAACACAAAAAATTCATGGACTATAGTACACAAAAATCAACAAAATTTGGGGGTTTATATTTTCCTAGGCTCGTTTGACCTTCACAATGAGTCATTTTGGTCGTCAGGGCCAATTGACTCCATAGCTAACGTCTTAACAAACGTCCAAAAAATATTTGGGGAAAAAATTGTCAAAATTCTACATCATTAAAATAGATCGTGGACTATAGCCCATGATATTTTTTTAAACGAAAATAAAGAAACAAAATGACCAATTTTTCATGGACGTCCGTTAAGACCTTAGAAATGGAATCAATTCGTTCCGCGGGGAAAATGATGTATTTTCAAGTTTAAACGAGCCTCGACGCAGGTAAAGGTAGAATTACCAATTTTCGTGTGCTATAGTCCATGGATTTTTTATAATCCAAAAATCCCAAAACAAAATAGCCAAAAATTTTCGAGGACGTCTGTCAAGACCTTAGAAATGGAACCAGTTTGTCTCGCAGGGAAAAATAGTGCATTTTGAAGTTCAAACGAGCCCAAAGCAGAGAAAGACAAATTTTACCAATTTTCATGTGTTATATCCCATAGATTTTTTATCTGTAAATCCCCAAGACCTTAGAAATGGATTAAGTTCATCTCGCGGAGAGAAAAAGTACATTTTCAAGTTCAAAAGAGCCCAAAGAAGGCAAAGACAAATTTTAACGAATTTCTTGTCCTATACGCCTCTTGATTCTAAAATTATAAACTTTAAGGATAAAGTTGAAAAAGATAATTAATTATCTTTTGATTTTTTAGATGACAACTATTTTTGGTATATAAGAAAACTAAAAGGAACAAATGAAGTATAATATAGAATAATAACCTATAACATAATATGAATTTGTTCGTTACCATATATATGTCGTTCTTACTAAAAGTAGATGTTCTTTAATACTTGTCATTTCACAAAAAATCAATAATGACATACTATTTCTTATTTTACCCTTAGGAATTATTAGTTTAAAGATATGAATTTGACCAAACATATGAAAACTAAATAATTAATATATGTTCACGTTAATTATACTAATCAAAATAAATTAATTAATATTTATCTATTGAAAACTTGACTTCAAGATAACTAGAGTCGTCAAAAGAGATTTTAACTCATGGGGCCTACAACCCGTTATTGGGGGTAGGGTTGAGATAGGATTTTCAAATTCATTTAAAACTAGGGCTTATAAGTCTGATCCATATAAATTCTTAAACATTGATGCTTGATCGGGAAAAGGTCAAGGTCAGTCCATGTACCAAAACTATTTTTTTAAGGGTAACTTACAAAAATCTCTCTAGTGTATGAGTTAATTACCTAAAGACACATTATGTTGTAATAATGTGAATCTTATCAAATTTGGTACGCCCAGATACATTAAAGATACATTATGTTGTAATAATGTGAATTTTATCAAATTTGGTACGTCCAGATAAATGTACTCCAAATTATGTTAATTTGTTCTAGATACATTCTATCTATGTGAATATTATGTATTTAGAATACATAGAGCGTCCCTTCTAGGGTTTAGCTGAGTTGAATATTCTCAAGTCCTTCTAAATAAAAGACCGACCTGTCCCAGCCCACTAAGTTATCTGGCCAACAAGCTTGGGCCGAATGGATTGGGCCAATTATATTTGACAACTCAGCTCTAAAAATAACACTAAATAAGAGTTAAGTAAACCTCAAATAGTGACATAAAAATAGAAACCAAAAGCGATAGTCAGGTAGCTAGTACAAGAGTCAAATGACGGCGCTGCTCACCTTTGCTCTTGGCCGCCAAATTTGTATCCTCAATAGCTTCCTCGGATACGGAAATCGAAGATCTTCTATCAAAGCCCTCACTTGACAAACGTCGTATCCCGAAATTCCCTTATCGGTGGTTACTTTAAACACAGCCACATCCAACAAGCGGAATACCTGTTCGACTAAATGCCTCATAGAGATGTCATTTTCGGAACACAAACGCTCTCCGGGTAGCAACGCCAGTAAGCCGGAGAAAGTATACATTATTTTTTATAGATATGAATAGATGTGGAGAAATGAGACCAATGATCTCACTTTCACGGTATGTGTTAGCTCCTTCTTGCATTTTTTATCACAAACATTTGATCCCTCGGCTTCATTGTCTCGTGCTCTGTTTGGAGATAAGTCTCAATTTATTTGCTGAGGGGTTATGTTGATTTGGATGATTACAGGGGTTTAGGTTGAGTTTTTTAATGAAATTATGGACAAAGATGTTATGCTGTGGAATGTGTTGATTTTGGGTTATATGAAGTTTGGGTGCACAAGTGAGGTGCAAGGGCTTTTGGTCAAGGCAGAGCAAGGTGGGGTTTGTGGGTTTGTTTGAATTTGTTTGAACCAAGAAGCTTTTCGATAGTCGATGGATTTTTATTAGAAAAATAAATATATATGTATATTAACTTGTGAAGATGGTTCAATGCTGAAGAAGTGACTCCGGAGTGCTTGAGTTGTGGGTTTGAAACCCCTTAATCTGAACCACCCTCTCTTTTAGAATCTCAAAACTCATAATCCTGACTTTGCCTAAGAACAAGAAGCTTAATGAAGCTCGATTCGTTTTTGATGAGATGAGTGAGAAAGATGTGATTACTTGGATATCAATGATAAAAGGATATGTGTGTTATGGAGAGTTATGAATGCTTTGAAATTGTTTAAGTTGATATTGAACTCGAGTTCTCATCTTAACCATTTTACGTTTTCAACTATTTTAGATGCATGCGCAGGTTACTCTGCTGTTTTGGTAGGCAATCAAGTTCATGCGTGCATGTTGATGTCATCTTGTTTACCTCTCCTGTTGACATGTATGCTAAATGTGGAGACAGTGAAGTTGCTTTCTGCATTTTTGAGTCAATCCCTGCAAGAAATTTGATCATTGGAGGTTACGCAAACATGGGCTTGCAGGTGTTTGATAGGATGCTGAAGAGTGGTATCAGGTCTGGGGGCATTGCTAGGATCATGTAGGTTGCACTCATGTCTAGAGTTCAGAGAGATTGCAGCAAATGGTATCTACACATTGGAGCACAACCATCCTGCAATATACTCGGTGCTTTCCAAAATCCACGGAGACAAAGGAGTGTGCAGTGACATAACTAGTTTCAAACTTTGGTAACTTGATGAAGAAATGACGTGCTACAGAGCAGAAGGCTGGTAGAATGTCTGTCTACTATGAGGCAAGTGGCTTTCTACATAACATTTTCCTTAAGAAATTATTAAAAATCTATACATCTTTAAGTTTTTCCTTTTTAGTATCTTAATTTGTATGCCCAATAGAACATAAATTTTTAAAAACCAAATCATATGGGATATAACATGTAAGTTCTTGTGCCAAAAAACTTTTATCAAATTCGATCATTTTTCTCTTATAAATATAACTTTAGCTGTCAATGTTTTGAATTAAATTTAAAAGATTAGATATTCTATTTATTTGTTTGAATTTGAATCATGATAGTTCATAGATACACTCAATTCATTAGTTGTTAATTTACATTATTTGATGTTCATTAAAAATTATTACTTTATTGATATGTAGTCGAGAGTTATTTATTATCAGACATGAGGTCGACCAGAATTGCAATTTTTGGAAATATTTTTTCTTTTATTACTACTATATAAAAGGAAAAATATCTAATTTTGTAGTTTGATAAATTTTAAGAACTTTAAGGACTTTTTATATGCTACAAAAAATGATGTTATCATGAAAAGGATTATACAATCCTACAAAGTGTTTTCATATATTGAGATTACTTAACTTTTTACAAATAAAATTTTACTTTAAGACATTATTGTAAGCATAAATTTAATGCACATTAGGATCTTAGACTATAATTTACTCATAGGCATTATAGAAACATGTCTGAATACATTATCGTGAAAAGTGATTTTTACAATAATATCTTTAGGTATGTTTCTATAATGCCTCTCAGTAAATTATTTTGTCTAAGATCCTGACATGCATTAGGTTTTTGCATACACTATATAATATCTTAAGACAAACTATTATTTGTAACAAGTTTAGTAATATTTTCATATAAATTAAAGACTTAATATACGAATGTACTTTGTAGGATCATTGTTATCTTTTTCATGAAAACACAATTTCTAGTAACATACAATTTCTTTTGAAGTTCTTAAAATTTATTAAATATTCCAAGTCTTACGGATTTCTTTTTGAATAAAAAGGACAAGATAATTAATATGTAGACTATAAAAGTGGATATTCTTATATAGGAGTAAATAATAAGAGAAAAATAATTTCCAAAAAGTAGCAATCCTGATTCATGCATGATAATAAATCACTTGTGATTATATAATTTTTTTAATGAGTATCAAACAATGTGATTTGACAATTAAAGTTATATTTATAGAAGCATAAGTGGTCAAATTTTAATTTATCCTTTGTTATACTATAATTTAAAATTACTCTATCATTATCTGAATAATTCAAATATATTTCAACTCTGTTAAGCTTTTTTTCTTTGTTGGTTAAATGACACGAATATTTGTGGAAAGAGGTCATACTTTGTATAGCAGGATAAGTAGCTATGACAAATAGGTAGTTTCCTATTGTACATAGTTCCACACATGTTGCTTTGATTGTATATATTGGTGGGACTATCTAAACAGTAGGGTTTTCAAAAGACTGGTAATTCACTCCTTTGCTCAATAGATGAGTAATTCGGTTCTTCTCCCAGTTGCATTTGAGATCTGCACTATACAAGAATAATAGAAGAATGCATATTATCATGATTTTGCATATTTATGACTTCTAAAGAGTGGAGATTGATTTCAACGGGGGGGAAGATTGTACTGAATAGCTAGCCATGAGCCTTGTAGGGCTTTGAGCACTTCCATTATGGAATTGAGGGTCCAATTCCCTCTATGATTTCTAATAATGCCTCTGATTTCGTCAATACTAGAGTTGAACTTGACAGAACCATCACTGTTAAGCATGTAAGTCTCACGAGAAGCGGAGTTCCATTTAATTAAGATTGTATATGGTTGTCCTTTAGGTATGAGAGTTTGGTCGATGAGAAGATGGTACTCAATAACTTAGAGGTGATCCTTTTCCTTTCATTTAATAAGTTGTTATTCCATTAAAACTAAATATTCCAAAAAAAAAAAGAAAAGGAAAAGAGAAGCATGAAATTCCAAGAGAGCATAACATTATAGGGTTCCTTTGGTTTCTATTTTTAGAGACTCGTGGACTTTTGCAGGCATTTTGATGTACTACATAATGTGAAAGGGGATATGCTTCCTAGAGAAACCCTATCTAGCATAGTTCTGCTAGCCATGTTGAGGAACTTGTCTTGTTGTTCATACTTTCAATAATTAGTTGGGAGTCACTATTGTCAGCCTTCATTTGGAAATATATTTTCTTATATTTCTACTATTTACAAGGAAGGATATTCAATTTTGTAGTACACACATGAATTTTCTTGTTCTTTTTATTCAAATTGAAATTCGTAAAACCTTGCATATTAAACAGATTATACGCTACTAAAAATGATATTGTCATAAAAAAATTTTCTAATGATCCTACAAAGTACATTCATGTATAGAGTTTTTAATTTATATGAAAATATTACTAAGCTTGTTTCAAATAATGTTTACCTCAAGACATTATCACAAGTATAAACTTAAAAGCACATCATCATCTTAGACAAGATAATTTGCTGAGAGGCGTTATAGATACATACAAAAAGACATTATCGTGGAGAGTGACTTCTATGCCGCCTTATCGTAGTCGTAATCACAGTTGTCTTCGGCAAAAGAGTGTAGAGAATTATACAATAACCCTAGTGAGTGGAAGAAGAACCAATTTATAAAAGAAATAATTAATACATTAATATGCCTTTTAACTTAACCTCAACTAATATTTATGCTCTCTAACTTTGAACAGGTAAACACGAGTTCTACATGACACAATACATGTAGGAAAAATATGTCTATTTATTCAGCTTTATTGAAGTTTAAGTATTTACTTGTACATAACCAAAGTTTGTGGGTATAAATTTGAGTTGAGACCAAATTAAAAGACAGATGTATGTATCGACTATGCCTTTATACATAGATTCTCCTTCGACTCACTAGGGTTATCATATAATTCTCTACACTTTTTTTGCCGCCGACAATTGTGATAACATAAGACTAGGATAAGGAGGCGTAAATATAACTCTCCACGATAATATCTTTAGGTAATCTATAACGTCTCTCAATAAATTAACTTCTCTAAGATCCTGACGTGCATTTTAAGTTTTTGCTTAGAATAAAGTTTATCTTTGCATTAGATGTTTTAACTTTTAAGTTTTGACCAAAGTTTGAAATTGCCTGACATTTTTTGCATACTTGTTCATATGAGAATTCCGTCAGCGCAACTGGCTTTGGAAGGTAATCTTTTATCGAATAGGATGGTTAGTTTAGGTTTTGAGGCTTCCATTTTTAGTTTGTTATTTTAGGCGTTTTAACTTTTAAGTTTTTGCAAAAGAAATCAAAATTCTGGATCACCAAAAAAGATCATGGACCATAGCAAATGATAATCAGCAAAATGAGGGGTTTATTTGTTTCGAGACTTGTTTTACCTTAAAAATGAGACATTTTCCGTCATGTCCAAGTAACTCCATTAATTACGTCTTAGCGAACATGCACAAAAAATTTGGGCAAAAAAGATGTCAAAATCTGGATCACCAAAATTTGATGAACAATTGTACAAGAAAATTGTCAAAATGGGGTTTACCTACTTTGGGGCTCGTTTGACCTTGAAAATGAGTTGTTTTGGCCCTTAGAGCCAATTGACTCTATAGCTAACGTCTTAACACACATCCACAAAAAACTTGAGAAAAAAGACGTTAGAATTCTGGATCATTAAAAATCCATGGACTATAACACACGAAAATCGACAAATTTGAGCAAAAATGACGTCAGAATCCATGGACTATAGCATACGAAAATCAGCAAATTGGGGGGTTTACCTAATGTGAGACTCGTTTGACCTTTAAAATGGTCCGTTTTAGCCGTCAGGACCAACTAGCTCCATACCTAACGTCTTAACAGACGTCCACAAAAAATTTGCACAAAAAACACGTATAAATTCTATATCACCAAAAAACATCATGGTTTGTAGCACAAGAAAATCGACAAATAAGGGGTTCACTTGTTCAAGGGATCATTTGACTTTCAAAATGAGTCATTTTGGGCGTTCGAGTCAAAAGACTCCATATATAAAATTTTAACGGACATTCACAAAAAAATTGAGAAAAAAAGATGTCGAAATTTGTAATCATAAAAAATTCATAGACAATAGAAATAAAAATCAACATAGCTAACTGGCTCCCCCCAGGTTTTGGTCGAATAGGAAGAGAGAACCCCTATGTTTTGATCGTCAAGGCCAACTGATTCCATACCTAACATCTTAATAGACATCCACAAAAATCATGCACTATAGTACACAAAAATCAACAAAATTGTGTGTTTATATTTTCCAAGGCTTGTTTGACCTTCAAAATGAGTCATTTTGGCCGTCAGGTCCAATTGACTCCATAGATAACATTTTAACAAACGACCAAAAAATATTTGGAAAAAAAAATTGTCAAAATTCTACATCACCAAAATAGATCGTGGACTATAGCCCGTGAATTGTTTTGATACAAAAATAAAAAAACAAAATGACCAATTTTTAATGGACATCCGTTAAGACCTTACAAATGTAACCAATTCGTTCCGCGGGAAAAGATGATGTATTTTCAAGTCTAAACGAGCCTCGACGCAGGTAAAGATAGAATTACCGATTTTCGTGTGCTATAGTCCATGGATTTTTTATAATCCAAGAATCCAAAACAAAATAGCCAAAATCATAGACATCTGTCAAGACCTTAGAAATGGAACCGGTTCGTCTCGCAGGAAAAATGATGCATTTTGAACTTCAAACGAGCCCAAAGTAGACAAAGATAGATTTTACCAATTTTCGTGAGCTATATCTCATAGATTTTTTTTCCTGTAAATTCCAAAATAAAATGACCAAAATTTTACATGGACGTCTGTAAAGATCTTAGAAATGGAACAAATTCGTCTCTCATAGAAAAAACGTACATTTTCAAGTTCAAACGAACCCAAAGAAGGCAAAGACAAATTTTAACGAATTTCTTGTCCTATAGTATTTAGGTTTTTCATCTTAAAATACCGAAACAAAATGAACGAAATTTTTCATGGACGTCTATTAACACCTTAAAAATGGAACCATTTAGTAACGCGGGGAAACTGGTGTATTTTCAATTTTTAACGAGACCCAAAACAGACAAACAAATTTTATCAATTTTCGTGTGATATAGCCAATTGAGTTTTTTTCTTTGGAAATCTCTAAACAAAATTGTCAAAAATTTACATGGACGTCCGTTAAGACTTTAGAAATGAAACCAGTTCTATCAGCTGGAAAAATTGTGCATTTTAAAATTCAAACGAGCCACAAAGCAGGCAAAGACCGATTTTACTGATTTTTGGGTGATATACCCCATGAATATTTTTTTATTCGAAAATCCCAAAATAAAATTACCAAAATTTTAGATGGATAATTTTTCAAGACCTTAGAAATGGAACAAGTTTGTTTAGCGGAGAAAATGGTGCATTTTTAACATTAAACGAGCCTAAAGCAGACAAAGACATATTTTAACAATTTTTCTATTCTATAGCATATAGTTTTTTTTTAATCCAGAAATCAGAAAAATAAAATGACCGAATTTTTTCATGAATCAGTTAGTACTCTGGGGAAAAATGGTGTATTTTCAAGTTCAAAAGAGTCCCAGAGCAGGTAAATGCAAATTGACGAAAATTTTCATGGACGTTCGTTAAGACCTTAGAAATGGGAACAGTTCACATTCAAGTTCAAACGAGTCTCAAAGCAAGCAAAGACAGATTTTAGTAATTTTTGTTTGTTATAGCCCATGATTTTTTTTTAATTTGAAAATCCTGAAACAAAATGACCAAAATTTTTTATTAATGTTCGTTAAGACCTTAGAAATGGAACCAGTTCCTCCTAGGAGAAAATGATGTATTTTCAAGTTCAAACGAGCCCAAAGCAGACAAAGACAGGTTTTTCTGATTTTCATGTTCTATACCACATGAACTTTTTTAAATCTCAAAATTTTAAAAAAAAAATGACCAAAATTTTTCATGGATGTCTCTTAAAACCTTAGAAATGGAACCAGTTCATCACACAGATAAAAATAGTGCATTTTGAAGTTTAAACGATCCCCGAAATAGACAAAGACAAATTTTATCAATTTTCACATGTTATAGCCCATGCTTTTTTTTATCCGTAAATCCCAAAAAAATGGAAATTTTTTATATGGACGTCTGTTAAGACCTTAAAAATAGAACTAGTTCATTATGTTGGGAAAAATATTGCATTTTTAAGTTCAAAACGAGCCAAAACAGACAAAAATAGATTTTACTGATTTTTGTTTGCTATTGTCCACGAATTCTTTTTATTTGTAAGTCCCGAAATAAAAGGTATAGAATTTTTCATGGACATTCGTTAAGACTATAGAAATGGAACCAATTCGTTGCGCAGGAAAAATGGTTCATTTTAAAGTTAAACGAGCCCATAAGATGGCAAAAATAAATTTTATCGATTTTCGTGTGCTATAGAATATGAATTTTTTTAACTGAAATTCCATAACAAAATGGATGAAATTTTTCATGGATGTCCGTTTAGACCTTAGAAATGAAACCAGTTGTTCCGCGGGGAAAAAAGGTCCATTTTTAAGATCAAAGGCAGTTTTGACTAATTTTTGTGTACTATAGTCCTAAGATTTTTTTTAATGTGAAAATCCCGAAAGTAAATGACTGAATTTTTTGATGAACGTTCGTTAAGACCTTAAAAATTGAATCAACTTTTTCTTTGGGGAAAATGGTGCATTTTCAAGTTCAAGCGATTCTCAGAGCAAACCAAGGTAGGTTTTTACCGATTTTTGTGTGATAATTTTTCTAATTCTGAATTTTCGAAACAAAATGAATGAAATTTTTTCATGGACGTCCATTATTATCTTAGAAATGGAACTAGCTAATCTCACAGTAAAATGGTGAGTTTTCAGTTGAAACAAGCTCCAAAGCAAGAAAAGACAAAAATTTTCGATTTTCCTGTGCAACCCGTGAATTTTACTTCCGGAAATCCCGAAAGAAAATGATCAAAATTTTTCACGCATGTCCATAAAGAACTTTGAAATGAAACAAGTTCGTCCAACGGGGAAAAATGTTTCATTTTCAAGTTCAAACGAGCTTTAAAAGTAGGGAAAGACACATTTTAACGATTTTCTATGCTATAGCCAATAAATTTTTATTGATTGGAAAATCCCAAAACAAAATGACTAAAGTTTTTCATGGATGTCCTTTAAGATCTGAGAAATTGACCAAGTTTTTTCCGCAGGAAAAACAGGTGCATTTTCAAGTTCAAACGAGCCACAAAGAAGAAAAAGAC